AACTTCATGGTGGCAGAGATGGGTTGGGACCCTAATGTGTGGGAGAGTCCTATGGAGTTCAAGCCGGAGAGATTCTTGAACAGTGAGAAAAATGGAGAAGCATTCGATATCACGGGGAAGAAAGAGATAAAGATGATGCCATTTGGGGTAGGAAGAAGAATGTGTCCTGGCTATAATCTAGCTATGCTGCTTTTGGAATATTTTGTGGCCAATTTGATCTGGACTTTTGAATGGAGAACTTCAAATGGAGCCGAAGTTGATCTGACAGAGAAAGAAGAATTCACTGTAGTGATGGAAAATCCATTACAAGTCTCTGTATCTCCTAGGGCTTGAGATCAATCAAGTTATGGCTTTCTGTGTTATAGAGGTGATTATATGGCTTTGTGTGTTATGCAGGTGATGAAGTCTGGGAACATGATCTCCGTGCTTTTATTCACGTAGAGACATCATTTTGTGGCACATGTACTATAAGACTAGGCCCAAGATAGTGGCTTTTTGGTTACTTCAGATTCAGTTTCCATATTGAACACTACCTCCGGTCCAAATTATAAGAACTTGTAATTTGTCTTATAATTAAAACCGGAAGTAGTAGCAAATCTGTCTGTGCTTACTTTTAGCGGTGTCGTTTGAAGCCTTATTTCAGCTATGGCTTATTATCTGTGTAGGAAAAAACAGAGGATATACAATCCCACATATATAATATGTGTATGAGAGATTATACATATATATACTAGTTCAACATCACCTTCCTCTCCTATGTGATATAAAATTTTCATTATCACTTTAATGTAATTATGGGTCCATTTTTGCATTTTGTTAACTAAGCAGCACAAGAAATTGTCTTCGTTGAAGTGTGTTGGCACTGTAAGCCACGACCACATATGAGACTTTGCTATATTTATCTTCGCACAAACGTGGTACAAAGCTTGGTCTAAGATTTCTCCGATTAAGGGCTAAAGCCAAAGCTTTTTACTGGTTCATGCTCTCCCAACCATAATCATGGGGTTGTGGTTGATCGTCTTTGCCACAATCTGTCTCTGTTTTTCCATTAGAGGTCTCTTGAATCTTGTCTCTCCTCCTCCTCCTTCTTCATCTTCTTCCTCTCTTCTCCCTCCTGGTCCTTTCCGGGTCCCCATCATCGGCAATCTCATATGGCTGAGCAGATCACTCAGCGAACTCGAACCCATTCTTCGAAAGCTTCATGCCAAATATGGACCCATCGTCACTCTCCCGATCGGCTCTCGTCCTGCTATATTCATCGCCGATCGGTCTATGGCCCACCAAGCCCTCATTCAAAACGGCCTCGTCTTCTCCGATCGTCCCAAGGCCCTCGCCACCGAGCAGATCCTCAACAGCGACCAACACAACATTATCTCTGCCTCCTACGGCCCCATATGGCGCCTCCTCCGTCGCAACCTCGCCTCCGAGATGCTTCACCCGGCTAGAATCAGATCGTTCTCGAGCATACGTAAATGGGTTTTAGATTTGCTTGTGACTCGGCTTAAAGCTGATTCAAAACCCAGCAATCCCGTTAGAGTGAAAGACCATATCCAATATGCTATGTTCTGCTTGCTCGTGTTCTTATGCTTCGGTGACAAATTAGACGACAAGCAAATCAAAGACATAGAACGCGTTCAAAGGAGTATACTTTTGAGTCTTAAGAGATTCAAAATGTTAAATTTCTGGCCAGCAATTACTCGAGTGTTGCTCCGCAACAAGTGGAAGAAGTTCTTGCAGATTAAGCAGGAGCAAAAAGATGTTTTGATTCCACTGATAAGAGCAAGGAAGAAACTGAAGGAAGAGAGATTAAACCAAGAACAAGCTGATGACGATGATGATAACGACAATGATGATAATAATGAGACAGATGAAAATATAGTGTCATATGTGGATACTTTGTTGGATTTGGAATGGCATGGGGAGAAAAGAAAGCTAAGTGAAGGTGAAATGGTTTCCATATGTTCAGAGTTTCTAAATGCAGGAACAGATGCAACATCTACCGCACTACAATGGACTTTGGCATGTTTAGTGAAGTACCCTCATATTCAACAAAAGCTTGTGGATGAAATAAGAGATGTATTGGGTGAGAGAGAGCACGAGGAAGTGAAAGAAGAAGATCTGAGCAAAATGCCGTATCTTAAAGCAGTGATCTTGGAGGGACTAAGACGCCACCCACCTTCACATTTTGTGTTGCCACATGCAGTGTCAAAGGACCTGGTCTTCAACAATTACTTGGTGCCCAAGAATGGATCTTTAAATTTTATGGTGGCAGAGATGGGGTGGGACCCAAAGGTGTGGGAGAATCCAATGGAGTTCAGGCCTGAGAGATTCCTGAGCACTGAGAAAAATGAGGGGGAAACATTTGATATCACAGGAAGCAAAGAGATAAAGATGATGCCTTTTGGTGTAGGAAGAAGAATGTGTCCAGGTTACCTATTGGCACTGCTTCATTTGGAATACTATGTGGCCAATCTTGTATGGAATTTTGAATGGAAAGCTTGTGACGATGTTGATTTGTCAGAGAAAGAAGAATTCACAACAGTAATGAAACATCCATTACAAGTTCGTTTGTGGCCGAGGTTTTAGATCTAGACATGTAAGAGGAACACATCAGATTCATCCTTTATACTGACACTGAATTAATGGTCCATGTAGGTGACTTATATGGATATTGTTCCCAAGTTTGTGGCTTTTACGTGAACTTCATAAAGCAAGTAGCTTGTGGAGTTTGTGTGAATATGAAATTTTGTAGCAATTTCTTCCTGTAGATCAAGGGATGAGATATATTCATCCATGAATGCGACATATGCACAGTTTATTAGTTTCTTTTTAATGAATGAATGGGCACAGTTTGATGTTATCTCATATTATGTTGCATTCCATTATAGACAGAGCAAACAGAGCAATGATGTTTTTATCAGAAGAAACGATTAAGATTATATTGCTAGCCTTGGTCAAAACCTCACACCAATTTTTAGCAGTACATAGTATGTGACTTTCATTACTCTAAGATAAGGATTTTGGTACTATACATATGAAATGTATAGATTACAAATTTGATAAATTACATCCAATTAACATGGCTATCATATCTGAAATATAAGAAATGACAAAAATGTTAAAAATGTTCTTTTAGTTTCCTGATATCTAAGAAAGAAATAGATGTTTAATCGTAAATTTTAGATTTTGATTTATTAATTCTAAAATGGAACGTATAAATCATCACAGAACAGAATGGGAAAAAGGAAAAATTTTACATTTTGTTTTTGAGATAAAAATTACAAAGGAAGAATTCTGAAATTTTAGAAAGTAACTTGTAAATTCTAAAGTCTTACTTCTTATAGAGACCAAATTGTTTCCTTTCTTTGGCTAATAGTAACAGATACTATTTTACATGGGCATTTTAAAGATATAACAATAATTCCACTTAAAATATCTCACCATCACTCATTTTTAGCAAATTAATTCAGTCATGTTTAAATGTTAATTTATTATTAATTAACACATTATATATACACATCATTTTCTACCTTCCACATCTATTTACAGATAAATTGGAAAAAGATATTGCAAGTGATGCATTGCTCTAAAAAAGGATGTACCAAATCCATTTTCCAAAAGAGTTCATTCTACTTTCATTCCAGCTGAATATTTGTTCCCCCAACTAGGAACTTGGTTCATGTACAAATATTTCAGTTTTAGGCTTTTGGCATCCTTTATTCAGACTTCATTTTTTACAGGTAACATCCTTTATTTAGAGAGTGTTTGGATATAAACCAAATTATAGTTTTAAAAATGCTTTTGTAATTTACAAAATAAATATATAGAAAAATTTACTTCGTTTTATAAAAAAGTGTTACTTAAGGGTGTGTTTGGTTGGAGGGGAGGGGAGGGAAAATGAGCCCCTCCTCTCATTTGGTTAAAATTTTTGGAAGGGAGGGGAGCTAAAATGTCCCCTCTCCTCCCCTCCCCTCCCCCATTTTGGCTCCCCTCCAAATTGGGGTTTTTGGAGGGGAGCCAAAATTTTGGACCATTATGCCCTTATGGTTTTTTTAATATTCCACTTCTACCCATAAAATATATTATTATAATATTTATTTCAAATAAAAAATATATATCCTAAGTAAAAAAATAAAAAATATATACATTATTATAATTAAAAATATATTATAAAATTATTTAAATAAAAAATTATAATATATAAAATTAATTGTTTTTTTATAAATATATTATTTATTAAATATATTTTAAAGCTGAAAAAAAGATAGCTTAAAGAAAATAAAATTTCATTTTTCTTAGAGCATATAAAATTTGTTAATTTGATTATTTTAAATATATTATTATATTAATTAGAATAAAAAATTACTATACCAATTTTTTAATACACATATTAACATGATAAGACTGAATTTTTATTAAATTATATAATTTAAATTAAGATGTAAATTAATTTATATAATATATCAATAAAAAACATAAACTAATATGTAAGGGTAAAATGGTAAATTGATTATTACTATCCCTCCCCTCCCCTCCTTGAACCAAACAAGGGATCATTAAATACCCTCCCTTCCCCTCCTTTTTAATCAAACCAAACAAGGTGAGGATAAAACCTCCCCTCTCCCTCCCTCCCCTCCCTCCCCTCAAACCAAACAGACCCTAAAAGTGTTTCTTAGAAGTATTTTTAAGAATTTCCAAACATTAAGCTCCACCTTCGGAAATGTCCAAAGAGTATAAATAATTTTCCTTTTTCTCCGAGTGCCTCACCAAAAAGTTTTTGACTTTTCGTAAAGTTCCAATCTTTATTGAGTCACGTGAGAGAAAATCAGTGAACTACAAAACAAAACATCAGTCATATAATAATCGGCATCTTGGACACCACGAAACAGGAAAGGGCCAAAGTCAAACTATCATGTGCCGTGTCCAATCCAATCCCTCCGGATCAATTATCGTCTCTCTGTAATTCTTTAGCCCGATCATCCCTTTAAATTTCCAATGATTTTTCGCATAACTGTTCTCATTCTTACTCATTACTACTTTATCTTCTTCCTCTTTGATTCTTAACCATAATCATGGAGGTCTGGTTCATCGTCCTCGTCTCTGTCTGTTTCTGCTTTGCCATCCGAGCCTTCTTCAATCTTCTTTCTCCCTCTCGCCCCACCCCTCTACCACCTGGTCCTCCTGGTATTCCCATCATTAGCAATATTCTTTTTCTGCGCAGATCGTTCTTAGAAGTCGAAGCGTTACTCCGAAATCTTCGTGCCAAATACGGTCCCATCTTCGCTCTTCCTGTTAGGTCTCGTCCGCTTATATTTGTAGCTGATCGATCTATCGCCCACCAAGCCCTCGTTCAAAACGGTGCTGTTTTCTCTGACCGTCCCAAGGCTCTTCCCATCAGTGAGGTTTTTAACTGCGAGCAACATGACATTAGCTCCGCCTTCTACGGCCCCACATGGCGCGTCCTCCGCCGCAACCTCACCTCCGAGATGCTTCACCCGACCCGGATTAAATCCTTTTCAGGTTCGCGTAAATGGGTTTTGGAAGTGCTTATTAATCGACTCAAATCTGATTCTGAATCGAGCAATTCTATTAAGGTGATTGACCATCTTCAATACGCTATGTTCTGTTTGCTGGTGTTCATGTGCTTCGGTGAAAAGTTAAACGAGAAGCAAATTAACGATATCGAGCATGTTCAACGACTTGTGCTTTTGAGCTTCAACAGATTCAGGGTGCTGAATTTCTGGCCAAGAATCACTCGCATATTGTTCCGCAAGCGGTGGCAGGAATTGTTCCAGACTCGGAAAGAACAGGAAAGTGTTCTGATTCCACTGATCAGAGCGAGGAAGAAAGCCAAGGAAGAGAGATTAACCAGAGCTGCAGAGGACAGTGATAACTCAGATCGAATTATTGTGCCTTACGTGGATACTTTGCTGGATTTGGAGTGGCCAGAGGAGAAGCGTAACCTGGAAGAATCTGAAATTGTTTCTGTAAGTTCAGAGTTCATAAATGCAGGTACAGATACAACAGCTACGGCGCTGCAATGGATTATGGCAAATTTAGTGAAATACCCACATATACAAGAGAGGCTTGTGGAGGAAATTAGAGGTGTGATGGGAGATAGAAAGGAGAAGGAAGTAAAAGAGGAGGATCTGAACAAATTACCTTATCTTAAAGCTGTGATTTTGGAGGGACTAAGGCGTCACCCACCCGCACATTTTGTTCTGCCACATGCAGTGAAAGAGGATGTGGTATTGAATGGTTTCTTGATACCCAAAAATGGAACTATAAATTTCTTAGTTGCAGAGATGGGATGGGACCCAACGGTGTGGGAGAATCCAATGGAATTTAAGCCAGAGAGATTCTTGAGCATGGAGAAGGATGGAGATGAAGTGTTTGATATTACGGGAAGCAAAGAGATAAAGATGATACCCTTTGGAGCAGGGAGAAGAATCTGTCCGGGCTATAATTTGGCAATGTTTCATTTGGAGTACTTTGTGGCCAATCTGGTTTGGAATTTTGAGTGGAAGGTTTCAAATGGTGATGTTGACTTATCTGAGAAACAGGTGTTCACTGTGATGATGAAGAATCCATTACAAGTTCACATATCTCCAAGAACTTGAACCTGGACGAGGAATTTCAAAGTTTCGCAAGAAAGTTGACCCCACTTCTGGGAAAGTTTGTATATATATACATAGCATGAGGTTTTGTAAATATTACCGTACAATTAAGTTTATAGTTACATATACTTTGCATATTAAGAACCTGTTAGTGTCACTTTCTCATCTTAATAAATTTACGAATTCAGAAAATTTCTGAGAATTAAGATGGTTGTTTCGAGCTCCTTTGCCTGTACCAAAATCTTGCCAATTTTTGATGGCAGCACATGACCATATTAATATAAACTGAGTAGACCATGATCCTTATCTTTCATGCAAACTTGGACAGTGTTTAAATGTACTCTTCTGACTTTTAAATGATACAAATTTTTTATAAATATTTTGATAATATTTAGTAAATCATATTTTTATATGTTTTCATTTCCTTTTTGCTTGGTTTTTTAATTAATGAATTGGGGCTAATTGAGATTAATTAGCTTCATTTTATTTTATAAGCCATTTTATACTTTATGGGATTTAATTGATAAATTATCCTTTTAATATGCATTGAATATTATCTTATTTTGTGCAAATTTTTAAAACAAATTACTAATGATCAATGACGGCAATTGATTGGACTTGAAATCCATTGTTGTCATAAAATTCTATTATTATTATTATTGATAAATTTATGTAAATAGGAATTAGGATGTTTAAAAGTAAGGAGAATTTTATTTTTTTAATATTAAAATATTAGGTTTAGAGGATTTGAGGAATTTTTTTATTTTATGATGTTAAAATTTTTTTTTATATTAAATATTAGGTCTAGGGGATTTTGCCGACACTAAAAAGGAGGATTAATTTTCATCCAAAAAAAAAGGGAGGAGTAACATAATGTTATCAAAAAAAATGTTAGGTTTATTTCTTCTTCTCTGCTCATTTTCAGCTGCAACTTTCCCCTTCATTCTTCCCGCGATTTTGCGTTTTTCTTCATTGAAGAGACGGGATTTTCAAATGTAAATTTCTGTAACTTTGAACTTTTTTTTTAACTATAAACTTAAAGTCTCATCACTGTGAATTTGAAAATAATTTTTATCGAACAAGGAGTGTTACAGTTAAAGTTTTTCAATAAGTGCGTTTCATAAGATTCGAACTTGTATTTTCTTCTTGATGGGGTGAGACAGTTACCATATCAACCAATAATTTATTGGTGTAGTTTTGAATTGTGATGCATTGAACTCTATTATAAAATTATATGCATACATGTAATGTAGATTAATAACTTAACAAGTAAATTTTAATTAAAAAAAAACAAGTTTACTTAAGTTTGTGACAAATACTCTCTATAATATTAATTAAGAGATTTGTTAACAAGTAGTTGTCTCAACAACAACACCACCTACCACGCTTAAATGGGATGATAGATTTGAGCGTAACATTAACATATTTATTCGCATAAATACATTTAATTGTATTATATTAAAAAATTGAACTTAATTGATAAGTTTCTTTTAATAAATTGAAAAGTGCTACCTCCGGAGCGGAGGTAGTAAATTTGACCTTAATTGACAAGTTTATAATCTAGAACCTTTTGGATAAAGTTTTCCTTAATAATTTAACAGACAAACATTAATGAAATAATAAGTTGATGATTTAAGCATTTGAAAAGTAAGCGATTTGAAAATTAAAATTAAATTTTTAACATATAAAATTTTGTATTGTATGATTAAAGAAACATTGGTGACTTAGTGCTAGTAGTTTAATATTCTTTTAGTGCGCGTTCAAATCCCACAACCACATTGAGCAACCAGTTACAGGGCTTTGGCGGCCGACGCCAATGGTCTGGCCACCAGCAAAACTAGTTGAGGATACATTTTTTAAAAAAAAAATTTTGGCCTTGTTATAGATTTTTTTTAATAAACAATGATATTTTGGTCATTTTTTTCATGCAAATTTATTTTGAATTTCATTCTAAGTTCCTACAAAAGATTTTAGAAAGTATATTAGTCCTCTTCAACTATTAAACTCCTTCCGTGGTCCTATTTTCCTAATGCTTGACCCCCAAACTTTGTGTTGTAGTTTTATTTCTATAACTTTATTTTAATTTATTTATATTTTATCAATTGTGTGATGATCTTCTAGAACTTTTCTAACTTGCTGTGACTCGGTTTATAATTATATTATTGTTTGCTGAAATTGAATGAAGTGGTAAACTGATAATACATATTCCTCTAGATGCTTTACTATTTAATGCGCCACCTTAAAAAAGTTGAAGAAAAAATTGACACCCGCTCTGTCTCTTTTTAAGGGAGAGATTTAAGACGTGAATCGATCAAAAAGTAAGTTCAAATTAGTTAAAGAAGAAAAATATACAAAAATTTTAAGTTTTTCTTAAATTTAGGAGAGATAAAGTATAAGGAAATTATAAAAATAAATTGAATAATACTTCAAAAAATGATATAATAAATATATCGTTAAAATATGCAAGGTTTAATTTGTACAATATTTTAATTTAGTTTTTTTTAATTTTAGAAAGTATACTTTTAATTCTCTAACCCTAAAATTATTAACAAAAATGATGGTATTGAGATCTTATATTTAATAAAATATTCTTAAATACCAACATATTCTCAAAACAGTTATAATTGTTACAAAAAAGCATTATTTAGACCTAGTGATTTTAGAGGTAAATTAACAAAAATATACTTTTAAAAATAAAAGGACCAAATTAAAATATTATACAAAGTTAAAATATCCAATATATCATTTAGCCTAAACATATTGAGTATTATAATAAGTGAATAATGAGAGAAAAACACAAAATTAATCAAGAAAAGTTGAGACGTTTTGCAAATACTCCTCCGGTCCTTAATATATGACTTAATTGTTGAGTTGATTTTGGTTCTAAATATAAGACATATTTCTCATATGTATCATTTTTTTTTTCTAAATTACTCCTATTGATACTCCTTTAACAATAATCAAGTAAGAGGGAGTAGTAAGATATTAAAGAAGATGATTATGATGTTTTAGGAAAAACATATTTTATTTCTTATAATTAACTAACTTACCTGACTTTTTTAATCTAATCAGATTAATTAAATAGGTCTCGTATTAAAGAACAGATGAGTATTAATTATAAACAGGGCTAAGCACATAAGGTAGACATACTAGTTGTGAAAGGAAAATCACATTCAGGAACCATGGTGAAAACATATTTGCACCCAAGATCCTGAGTTGGGGGAAACAAAAATTAGTATGCTGGCTGACACTATAGAAGCTTGGTGTTTAGTTGGAAATGTAAATCATATACAGAAATTTAGTCGTAAAGCTCAAATAATAAAACTAAAACTCTCTCAAATTAGAACTCTCCCATGCGAATATGGTGCTAGTGAGGTCCTTGCCTGTGATTTCCCCTAAGTTTGGGTAACATTTCAAACCATGGTTTTTGAGAAAAAAGTTGTCAAACAGGAGGTAAAATTGATAAACCATGGTTTGGGGCAAAATCATGGTTTTGGATTCAAAAACCATGATTTTGGATGGTTTCAAAAAAATGAATTCATTCTGCTTTTGACTCAAATTGGAGAGTATGATTATGTCTGTCAGAGTAGATTTCAACGATAATATGACTTTAATACCCCTCAATTATTTTTTATAAATATATTTAATCTTTATTTTATAAATATATATAAAAATATTAATTAATTATTAATTACATTATCTTATATGTCATTAATTATGTTGGTAAAAAATTATTAACAATTTTATTCCTTCAAATTAAAATCTATTATAAATCTATCTTTTATGTAATTATCATATTAATTTGTGCTTTTTAGTAATTAACACATATAAAAAGTACTTCTGATAACAGCTATCTGAACACTCTCACTTTATCAGAATTATTTCTTTACAAAATTTATTCTTCTAAAAATCTATTTTTCAGAAACTATTCTCTAAATCATAGTTTAGTTTTAGTCAAACACCCCCTGAGAGAAAATTCTTGAAGAAACACAGTAATTTATTTAATCGATAGCTTGGAGGTCACATAAAGATTCAAGTTGGACTAACTTGTTCTGTGCTCCAACCTCTCTAGATAACGTCACTAATTATGTTCCTCCCTTTAAATTTCCGGCATCTCACTGAGGTTTTCACTGAGGTTTTCCCACTTCATTACTCGTCCATCACCTTCTTCATTCCTAACCATGGAAGTCTGGTTCGTCCTCCTCGTCTCTCTCTGTCTCTGCCTGACCATTCAAGCTTTCTTCAATCTTCTTTCTTCCTCTCGCCCCCCACTCTTCTGCTACCACCTGGCCCTCCTCGTATTCCCATCACCAATCTTCTTTTTCTTCGCAGACCAATCTTAGAAATTGAATCTTTACTCCGAGATCTTCGTGCCAGATACGGTCCCATCTTCACTTTTCCTGTTAAGTCTCGTCCACTTATATATATCGCTGATCATTCTCTCGCCCACCAAGCCCTTGTTCAAAACGGCGCCATTTTCTCCGACCGCCCTGAGCCAGTTATCGCTACTAAGTTTTTCAGTTGTGTTCAGCATGACATTAACACCGCCTTCTACGGCCCCACATGGCGCGCCCTCCGCCGCAACTTCACCTCCGAGATGCTTCATCCGACCCGGATTAAATCCTTTTCAGGTTCTCGTAAATGGGTCCTGGACATTCTTATCACGGCTCGGTCAAGTCTGATGCTGGATCAAGCAATTCTATCAAGTTGATTGACCATCTTCAATACACTATGTTCTGCTTGATGGGTTTCATGTGCTTCGGTGAAAAGTTAGATGAGGAACAAATCAAAGATATCGACGATGTTTCAACGCCGTGTAATTATGAGCTTTAACAGATTCAGGGTGCTGGATTTCTGGCCAAGACTAACCAGCATACTGTTTTTCAAGAGGTGGCAGGAAATGTTGCAGACTAAGAAGGAACGGGAAAATCTTTTCATCCCACTGATCAGAGCGAGGAAGAAAGCCAAAGAAGAGAGAATGAACAGAGTGAAAAGCTCAGAGGAACTTGCTGTGCCTTACGTTGATACTTTGCTGGAATTGGAGTGGCCTGTGGAGAAACGTGAGCTTGAAGAATCTGAAATCGTAGCCATAAGTTCTGAGTTTCTAAGTGCCGGGATAGATACAATGGCGACGACATTGCATTGGATTATGGCAAATCTGGTGAAGATCCACATATACAAGAGAGGCTTGTGGAGGAAATTAGAGATGTGATCGGTGAAAGAAA